TTCGGCTACTTGTCCAAGAACAGACCTACAGCCTCCTTGTGTAATCATGGTGCTTGCGCAGACATGATGCAGTCCCTCACGGTGGCTAGGATGCTCCATTTCTAGATTATCTCCGCCCAGATCCTGGCACTGCTCCCCACACTTAAATCCAGAGTGCCTCCGATTTGGTGGTTACACCACTAGAAATCAGGCCGGCATTTAGCTCTTTAGTTCACTACTTATTTACTGGAAGGCACAAAGGGACATCCCTTTATTTTTTAGAACTTCTCAGCAAGCATATTTGCCTCAAGTGAAAAATCATTATTATGTCTAAGCAGTGCTATCACAAACCCCAGCACATTTAGGAGCTGTCATGGGGCACTGCCTAAGCCGAGAACACCGTTCTCCTCTAAACTGAGCAACCGATTGACAGTATTAACATTATAAGTCACTATCTTTGTCTGATTATCAAGGTTAACATCTCAGGGTAATTGAGAAGGTGCATCTCTCCTCAGGCGGAGGAAATAAGGCAGAGCTTGGCTGCAAGTAACTGTTGCTGTGTGGAAATCAGCACCCGGAGCCATTGGCTTCCCTCAACGTTGGACTCAGGTGTGCTGGCTGGCGGAATCACACCGCTCCTCAGCATGACTTCACGCCCTCTTATCTGGGTAAAACACAGGAAAACACCTGTGGCTACGCTAATAAGAGCCATTCTATTACTGCAGGATTTGCTATCTGTTTCTAGATCTAATAGCTTATTTCCTAACTGTGCGTTTATTTGAATGAATTTGTTTTATTGTACTTGTCAGTGTGGGGAGTGCCAAGAGTGATGTTAACTCAGTCTAGGAAATGTAAGATAATGCAATCTTCAGTATAAGTTTTTTTTTCAGAATATTCAGAGCCCACTGATGTCTCAGCCATTTAAAACAGACCCTCACTCGCTTCACGATGACACTGGGCATGCATCAATGCTGATAACACCAAAAAAAGTGTTGGCAAATTTTAGCTGGAACCTGTTCACTCACCTTGTCCGAGAAAGTGGAAGGAGGATCCCAAAGTTGGTGGCTAAGAAGCAACACAGCATGCTCCAAGACTGGGAACCATGAATACTATCACTCTGCAACTGAAATGATGGGATGCTTGGAATATAGCAGACAAACTAGTATGAAGCTGACTGTAAGATGGTGTCTACAAACCACCAGAGGATGAGCAGAGGCGTATGCAGAACACTCGTAGTAGTCTGAAGGGGACACACAATGACAAAATATCCTTACATGATATTCCAGAAGATGTTGTATGATATACACAAGCCCATGGGACTTGATGGGATGCACCCACAAGTACTGAGGGAGCTGTCTGGTGCCATTGCAAGCCCACTCTCAACTGTCTTTGAAAGGTCATGGTGTGGGCAAAGTTCCTGAGGACTGGAAGAAAGCACAGGTCATTCCTATCATCAAGAAGGGCAAGAAAGAGGATCCAGGGAACTGGAACCAATCAGCCTCGCCTTGATTACGGGGAATGTAATGGAGAAGATAAATCCTGGAAATCATTTCCAAATATTTTAAGACGGTGCTTGGGAGTAGTCAGCGTGAATTTATAGAAAAGAAAGAACATCTGACCAACCTGATAGCTTTCCAAGATGACTGTCTCAGAGGATGAAGGGAGAGTAATGGATGTGTTCCCAGACAACCAGCTCTAGGTGGCCTGCTTCAGCAGAGGGGTTTGGACAAGATGATTTCCAAAGGTCCCTTCCAGCCTCAGCCATTCTGTAATTCTGTGAAATTAATCTGTGGCATTGTTAAGGAATACAGTTTGTGTGTGTGCTTGACACAGGCACCAAACAAGCAATTAAAATGCTATCATTAAAATGACAGGAGATATACGATACAATGTGTTAAGAGCATCTATAAACTAGAGCTGTATTTTGCATCCTGTGGCCCAGACAGCTGGAAAGGTGGACCTCTGCATATGCCATTACCAGCACAGAGAATGATGCTGTTTGTTCTGTGTCTGAGTAAAGGTACATGAGCAATGGATTTTGAACTAAGTCTGTGATAAAAAGTTCTTTGGAGTCCTGAGCTGCTGAACAAAGTGAGTCCCAGGGCATTCAATATTAATTCTGACTATTCAAGAAACAGCCTAAGGGAGAGACAGAACCTGAAAAGTAAACCAGTAATCCCAATCTAGTAAAAATATTACCTGTACTTTTATCCCTAACTTTTTTTCAATTTGTTTTCTTTATATTCCACCTTCCCCTTCTTAGGGCAAACTGGCAGCAGAGAGTGACTTGGGAAAAACATGCATGAATAAATCTGTTGAGAACAACTGAAGTCAGGCCCACAGTGACCAAATCCACTGCACTTTGGTGGCTTCTCTCTGGGCAAAGCGGTTTTGTTCTGCAGCTCAGCAAAATGGAAGTCTCTGCTCCAGCTGATTGCAGGCCACCGATTCCGCGGTGTTACAAATCACTTAGGCTTACTAAAAACAACAACTCACAGCCACATATTAAGTATATGGAACAATACAGAATATTTTTAGACCATTTACAATAAAGTGCCTTGAATGGGCCCATTTTTCTACATTCATGTCTACCCTGCTCCAGGAGAGCACCAGCCACTTGGCTAACAGCCATGACATGTATGTGGCACTCCTCTTCAGACCAGACAGACCTATTTTGAAAGTGTTGTACAGATCTGCTGATGAGAACTGAGGGGAAAGAGAAGCCAATTAAAATGCAATAGATGCCATGTTGGGAATACGGCAACCATACTTCAAAAATCTATTTGCTTTTGGTTTTATTGGCTGCGTGTTAATTCCGTTAAGTTTTAATGCACACTGGAGTGCTGCGAATGGCAAGTGGCAAAAACTGCTTTGAAACAATTCCTTGCTGTGACACTTTAAGGAGAACATTGCATTAGCAGTTTATTTCAATAATACAAACTTCCATGAGACTGGAAATTAAGCATTCCAAATGAGCTTTAAATACAGCGTAAGAAGTTTCAGGTTTAATGGACAAAGCCTGTTCCCACTAAATGTACCCTTGTACTGCCAAGAGGGCTCTGAAATAAAATAAAACCTGGAAGTGGCAAGTTTGAGGCTATTAGTGTCAGAGCCAGACCAGATAAGCAATTCTAAACTCAGGTGATCTTGGTATTAAAGAAATCTGTTTGCATCAACTTTTATGTTCCCCTTCACTCTGGAAACCAAAGCTGTTCCCTTGAGAAGCTGCCTGGCTCCAGAGGCGTTTGCTGAAGCACGAGAAATCCTACAGATGACTGCTTGAATCATTTCCAGACAACAAATCTGATCTTGATTAATGTTCAAAGTGCAGGGAAAAAAAAAAAAAAAAAAAAATAATTTCAAGACATCTCAGGGTTAACAACTACAGAATAGTCAAGTCCGTAATTCGGGACTGAATCAGAACAAGAACTGTTTCTTGCAGTGTTTACTTCTTCAGAAAAACCTAGAAGGTATCACTTTTCATTATGAGGTAAGCAAACTTTCCTAACAAAGAACTTCATTTAAACTAGAAAGGAGGACACGGAAAATGAACCGCAAACAGGAAACAGCTTTTCACCTTTGAATGTCTGTGACAAATCAGGACAGGCCAATGAAACGATGGTCTCCATCTCTGAACGGTCTCTTTGTCCTAATGTCCGTTTGCAACAAACAAACCGATCATACCCTTCACTCAGTGTCACACCTGGCACCCCTTACGGGTCCTTTGAGTGCCTTCAGGCATGCAAGTGCCAGTGGACATCTGGACAACTGAATCGAGCTTCTGGTCTAGGCTGGTCAGATACTGGCTCTTGAGGTGACCCCCAGTGCCCACAGAGGAGTTAATTAATACAGGTACCCGCGCCAGCCCTCACACACAGACACATCAATGTAGGTGTCCGTCTCAAATTTGCCTCCTCTCAGGGCCACAGAAGGTTGCCACAGTAAGCAACCCAGATTATTTCTCCACTTATGATGGCAGCTAAATCAGGCAGAAGGAACACAACACCTTTAAGAAATAAGTGCAGCAGAAAATATAAAAGGTTTTCAAACTCTAACACGTTTTTGTTCCTCTGTTAATAAAGCTAACTCTGCAGACAGTGGGACTTGTTGATGGGACAGTCTGAGGAACCCTTTCTACCTGTTGTGTAAACACAAAAAGCCTACACTTGTGCAACAGTTAGTCTCCTTTGACAGCACTGTGTTGTGTTTAAATCTCTTTGCTGCCTGTTCTTTGATGTGCTTTGGCTAACATTCCCAAATTTATAGCTGTATTTATCCTCGGTCACTACGTAGCTTAGAAATTGGTAAATATATCAACTAGAGGAACTAAAGCCTAACTCTCCCCTGTCCTAGACCAATGTCTTACAGGGCCACACTCCACAAATGTTGAATTATTTTCTGCAGAGTAAGATAGATTCAGCCAGAGGAATGAAGCATGCCCCTTGCCTTACAGCCTTGAGGTACCTACACCAGTGGTATATGTGAATTGGAACCCTCTTAGATTGTAAAAAGAATGCATTTCTCAACCTTGCAAAGTGTTTTTCACCCTGAATCATTGTTCAATGTCTTCTTGAAAAGGACCTGAAAAAAAGGGAAAAAAAAAGAACAACCATCCCTTCTATTTAGGTGGGATGGCTGTTCTTCTCCTTCCAAAGAATAAGGCCCACAAGATCTTAACAGGAACAGCTGAAGCCTTCTCACCTTGAGGTTTCCCTATTAGCAGGCTTAAGGTGACTCTCTGCAGATGGTATGTTTGGAGTGACACCTGTTGCATTAAAAGCACAAAATCATATGGGGAAACTGTGCTGCCACAGGGCCCATAGGAACGAGGTAGTAGGTGAGATGTTTTGACTCATTACAGATAATTTTAATTGCTCAACAAAAATTTGTATTTACTAAGCAGAAAATTACTTCCACTCATAATTACTGTAATAGACCTTTCAAAAGTATTACAAAAATAAAGTTATAAAATTGTTTCTTAAGGATCTGCTACTGTTACTGTTCAAAAAAAATCCAGCCAGTATCAGTTAAATGGCTTTATTCTCAAAAAAACCAATCAGGAATATAAAATATTTTCACACTATTTCTGTTTAAATATTGGTGACTGATTATGCATTTCCTTAAATAAAGTGCTATTTTTACAAATAGGTATTTCATATTCACTTTTACTGCTGCTCTAACCTCTTACTATTGAATAGATAAAGTGTATTTTGGTTAATGAAGAATGCAGCATTACTTTTTTCTTTATATTCCTCCTCATGAAACCATTACATTTTCAATTTGGATTCCTTCATCTGTATCCAGTCAACAGAGGCATATTCAGTTTATGTATTTCTCCATGTAGAAGCTCTCATAATTTGTGGTAGTTCTCATGCCTTCTTTCACACTCTGCTGTTCTTGACTGTGCCCATGCAGGCCTCCTATGGGTTCTTCATCTACGGGCAGGAGTAGATTGAAAACTTGAATCTTCTTATACGGTCATTCATTCTTCCTGCTCTTCTGACTTTGTTCTTCGATCCAGACCACTGATGCCTCAAACAGTTAATCATTTAGGCTGGATTGTAAAAGCAATCACTTCATTATTTTCTTTTATTCTTTGTGGCATTTGAACTTTAAGTACGTTACTGCAGAAAGTCCTACACAGGTGTAGTTAGGACTAACTTTTCAAATTTTCATTTGTACACTTGGATTTACTCAGCCAGATGCCAAACTTCACCATAAGAAAAAAAATCTTCTTTTCCAGTAGCTACCTTTTAGGAGAAACAGCTTCTTGTGGTTTTATAGAGCAGCCAGGTGCTGTAAAAAAAGAAAAACAAAAATCTGAAAACCTGCAACCAGCAAGACTCACAGCTTTAAAGATGACAGAGTAATTCCACAACTACTGGAAACAGGCCCATGTTATACCAGACTCCCAACAATTTTAACCTGTAATTCATTTTACTCATCTTAAGCCCTCTGCTGTAGGGAGAAGGTACGAAAAGTCCAAGTCACATGTGAAAAGGCCATCTACTGCCACAAAACCTTTCCAGTGTCTCTCTCTTCTCAATGTGTGCCTTTCTAGCAAGTGACTACCCAAATCCTGTATGATTTTTATTTTCAAGTCTATATTGGCTTTTCTCCTATTTTTACTTCTCACTCTGCAATCTCTCTAACTCCCTCCTTTGGATAATTTTCATTTGATATTTTTGACTCTGAATCCAACAGTGGAAAGCAAATACACAAATGACTCCCCACTCTATTCCACTTTATTCTGTCACATCTTTTAAAATACCTATATATCTGCAGATTCATATGTGTAAGTAGGTATCAATATGCAACATACTATTATACATGAAGAGAAAGCGGAAGACCAGGATTACCGCTAAGAATTATAGACTGAATGGCACCACATTCTTTTTTTACCATAGGCATAGTTACTCTTCATTTAACTTCTATCTGGAGAATATTCAGTTTATTCTTTGGGTAGCTAAATCCCCCATTTGTTCAACACCCCTTCTCGATGTTGGGGTGTTCTCTTTTCTTCCCACCTGTTATAAGAGAAGTGTTATGTTTAGGTGGAGCAGCTGGATGTCTATACCAAGTGAAGAGCCTCATCTTTTTCTTTCTAACATTTCAATAAACTTCAATAACTTCAATAAACCCTGGTCTACTGGGAGATGTCCCTGCCCATGGCAGGGTGGTTGGAACTCAATGATCTTCCAACTCTAACCATTCTATGATTCTATGATTCTGATATTAGAAGGTAAACTAAGCTAACTGGTAGTTAGCTTTACCTCCAACAAACCTTTGTTAATATTTTTTGTAACGAGGTTAGGAAATGCCCCAGGGGAAGAAGATTGTGTCCCTCGGAGCACAAGCCTTGGATGATCTCTTGCTTTTTTCATGTCATTTTTGTAGAAATGACAAATTCTGCTACAAGCCCCAGACTCAGACAAGGAAACTCCATGAACGGTTTCCACTTTTTACCACAGATCTAAAACGTAACACTTCTTTATATAGGTATTGTAATTAGCACATGAGATTTTATTTCTACTCTTCCGGAAGAAATCATTTCAGTTGGTTTGCTCCTTTTTTCCAGCATATAATTTCACAGAATTCACATGAACTTTTTTCAGCTTTTTGTTTCATATTTGGGAAGACCGTGCTGAGATACAGCTCTCTTTCCTTTGGTGTCAGTTTCTTCAATGAACGGGCAGACCACTGGCAGATCTAGTCAACCTCTTAATTATCCACTTGATGACTGCATGAATCTTGACTCTTTCCCCTCAACCCCCCCAAAAAAAACCCCACCTAATAATTAGGCCTGGCAATTGGGCATTCAAAAAGTGTGGTTTTCTTTTTTACCAGAATCATGTAAGCAAAAAGTTTACCTCAAACTACAAAAATAAACATACCCTGGGGTGACAAAATTTTTTAAATCCAGTTTTCTCAGAAATCTGGACTTCATGCTGCCACTTGCTGTTTCATTGAAGTCGTAGTCCAGGCCAAGGAGGAGCATTTTGTTCCTCAAAGCAGACATTTTGCCTCATGCCTCCACGGGCTGGTCACCTGCTCTGAATTTAAATGGTGAAGCAGCAAGCTAATTCTGTGTTTGTCTGACACAGTTCTCTGGGTTATAAAGAAGCAGTACTTTCCTAGTAGTTTTTCTTGTCAGGGACAGGGTGTTTAGCACACATTAGCAATTTTTCAAGCCATAATTTTTTCCCTTCAAAACTACTTAAGTGTCAAAGGAACCCACAACACTCACTCGTGGAATTAATTAATTTTGGCAGAATTTTCTGAAGGTCACAAATTCATTTACATTTAAAAAAGAGACAGAGGCAACACTCCATGCAGGTACCGTTCGCCTATTCAGAATACAGACAAGAACTATGGTGCTCCCGAACCTCACAGCTTATGGGCTCAGTAACCACTGAATTATTTATACTGCAATGAGGGCAGTCATCTGCCTCATGCGGTTCAGGCAAGGTCTGGAATATGGAGCTCCCACAGCCTAACCACGTATCACTCCCGTGGGGTGGGGAGGACGCAGTCTCAGTATCCTTCTGACAGAAAACAAATGTATGTCAAAGCCCGTTTTCTGTAAAGCAGAATCAGCTCACTTCCAGCCCCAGGGATGACACAGCAACTGATGTACAAAGGAATCTCTCTCCCAACTGTGAGATTTGTTATAATTGAAATAGTTCATCTGCCAAAACCCAACAAAGGCTCAACAACTTTTCTATGAGTTCTTGTAGTGAGTATCACAGCGAGTTCAGAAGCAGTGACCTCAGCAGGAGGTGCTCAACCAAAAGCAAGCTGAGGATACAACCCAGAAATTTATTTTGAACTGCCAAAAATACATCGAGAAGAAACTGTAGGACCTTCTCTAAAAAAGCCTGTTGCGTGAAATTAGTTATACCATCAAACCTCTGTTTCTGGTGGTCTTGCTTTTACTTATTCTGCGTATCGTTGTCTTCCTTTTCCTGCATTCCTTAGAAGCACAAATGTAGGTAATCACTGCAGTTCTCTTTTCCATTCTAGAAATACTCATCTAGAAGCTCTTCTATTTCTGTTGCCTCCCATCTCATACCAGGTTGGAAAGAGCAGCAACAGCTCCTGACTCAGTGGCAGGAGCAGAGGGGCTGAGCCTGGGCAGTGTCAATTGGGGTATTTTGAGGGGAACTGAAAATAAGGGGGCACTGGAGCTACAGATGGGGAAGGATGTGGAAGCTGTAGATATTTGCAGGCTTGGTGGAGGTAGTCAGACTACAGACCTCCCACAATTACAAGTGACTTTTCCAGAAAGGAAGGATTTAGGTTCTTTTCTCCTGCTTTTTCATTATTGAGTCTTATGCATATATTCAGATTGTGTTTCATTATCTTCTTTACACCCCTACAGGCTGGAAACTTCACGAAAACAGAGCTACACTGGCAGCCGCTCTTTTAGGTACTGAGCTTTTAAAATTACTCAAAATATTGAGGAAATCACAGTGATAGGTGTGTAAACAGTGATAGCAACACAGCTAGAAGAGCAGGACGCTTTGATTATCCTGTGAGCTGCCATCTAGCTTTCTAAAAGGGCAACGAACCACCTTTCTTACTAACAGCGTCCAGACAGGCTCCTAGGAAGAGCTCTAGAGAAACCAGCTGTTGTGGACCATAAAAAAAGCATAAATATTTCACATTCTATTTTTCACATCACAGGAGGCAGCCAGTTACAGATGCTATGATGCTAATCAATGATTAGAGTGTAACAAGCTAGAGAAGTAAGTTCACATCAGAAAAACTAAATGTATTCACCACGGAGAAGCTTCAGAAGGTTCCCATTTCAGAAGATGCCTTTACGTAGGAGTCCAAGGTCTCAAAAAGCAAATAATAACAAATTGCTGAGCCAGATGTTCTGGATTAAGCAGCTGAACAGCTGAGTACAGAGCCCAGGTTCTTGTTTACATTGTCACATAACCGCAAAGTGATAAAAGTGATGCTCATTTTTTTTTAATGGTTCAAGAGGAGATCCAGGGAAACACAGCCCCGTGAGATGGCCAGTAATACCAGGCGGATTAGCATGAACTATAACAAAGAATCTGAAATTTTGTAGAAAACAGTCAAAAAGGGATTTGAAGAGTCTTGCCTCAACAACACTGGAATTCCTTGAAGATGTCAACAGTCTTATAGATAAAAGAGATGCAACTGATTTTTAAAAGGCATTTCACATGGTTCAAGGCCAGTTCTTAAGACAATAAGGAAGCCACAGATTTCTTGTGTGGATAAATTATTGGCTGGGAAGGCAGAGGACAGAAGGTGGGAGTAAACAGTGATTGTTTTTTCCATAGCAGAGAGACTCACCACTAGCATTTCCACAGGGATCTGCACAAGGACTCAGGATATTCAATATAAGATTTCAAAAGGGCAGGTAGAGTGAAGTGAAGAACTTTCGTAAGTTATTCATGTAAATAAAAAGAAAGGCAAACAGAAGAATGACAAAAGGACTTCATGAGACATCAGTGCCCAGTCAATAAGATGGCAGACAAAATTTGATTAAGATAAGTATGAAGTAATATGAAGTAAGGCATACGGAAAAAACAGTATTCGAGTGGTTATATAAAATGGTAGCATCTGAGCTTGAACTCACTAGTTGAGCTGGGTAAGAGATAATTTTAATTAGTACCAATTCAGTCTTCAGTTATAGCCAGAAAAGCAGAGTACTAGAAATAACTAGGAAAGGGCAAGAGAACTGAAAACAGAGAACACAACTGAAAACCACACATCACTGTGTCATGTGTAAATCCACAGTATGCTTACAACTTGAATATTCTATTCTAGGCTGCTGTGTCCAAATCTGAAAGGATATGGTAGAAAAGGAAAAGAGCATCAGAAAAACTATGGTGTAGGGAACGATTAAGCAGCCTGTAAGTCTTCTGTCCAGAAAAAAACATGACTGAGGAAGAGTATCACGGGTATCTGTAAAATCATCAGTGGCATGGAGGCAGCGAAGAGGGAATAATTGTCTACTGTATCTTCTGATCCAGTAGGATGAAGTGAAAGAAGTCAGAAAATGGCAAGTTCACAGCAAATGAAAGCAAGCAGCTCTTCACAGCAATGTCAAATGAGACTGGATGATAAAGCTGAACACACCTGTATGGACCCTGGACGTGGCTCAGTCCAGCTGCTCTTATGCTTTAAAACGTTAGACATTCTTGAAAACTACTTCAAGTTCCAGAGACTGCTACTTTTTACAATAAAAAGCAGCTTACCTGGTGCAGAAACTTCTCTTATATACATGTTCTCTTCCTCTTCCTTTTCTGTTAGAGCTTCTGTTCCTGTTTCACGGTCAAATCTGTTTCATGGAGCTCTCACACACAAAACTCCAAAAGATAGATCTCTGATGGCAGCCTCCTTGCAGCATCAGCAGGAGCAACTGTTGCCTCCATTCTTACAAAAAGGATGTTCTCCCCAACTCTCTGTCACCGTTACCATCTTTTGCTGTCTTCCAGACACTTAAGCTCCCTGGTTAGGAAGTTGCTTGGAGACACAGTACATCTGTACCCTTCTTCAGCTCTTGAGTAATTCCAGTTCATTGCACCATGTTATCAAATCCCAAGTAGCAGCTTCTGCTCACCTAGTTGTACCTACAGAAGAGGCTCTTCAAGCCTGGGATGTTATCAAGAGACATCCAGAAATTCTCACGTACGCTGACTACTCTGAGAACGGGAAGTAAACTGCATAATGCACACAGTGACACCTGACAGGGGCTTTCAGCCAAGCAGACTATACAGAATATAGAAAGTAGCCCACACTGACAAACTACCCCAGCAATGCCCAGCTTTCCCCAAGACAACAGTAGGACAACACTCGCTATCAAGTATCTAGTGATATTCAACTGACAGACTGGAACAATGGGACTAGCTCATTATTAAGGCCTCCAAAAGCACACAATACCTGAAATATTATTTAACATAACCACTAAACAAATGATATGATTTTGTGAGTGGATGGAAGCAGCAAAACAAGCAACTGAAGAGGCACTTTAACATGGTGAATTTCCTGAGGCCATTCAGTGGCTTTCATGTTCCTCCTAAAACACGGATCCAGAAATACACATATGAATAAGTTTTTCCCCATTTCTTAACCTTGAGTAACAGATGTGTATGTGCCTTTGGCCCAGGTGCCTGGCAGGACAGAGATTTGCAACTTTTATATCTAGGGGTGACTGCAGTAAATGTATTCATTTGTTACGGGTCAGCAATACCTTTCTGGCCATTTTGATTATAGACAGTACATTTTAAAAGACAGTTTCTCCAGCAATGGCTAGCAGTTAGCACTCCAAAGAAACCAACTACAGACAATTATATAAAAATATTACCTACACGAAATAACTAAATGCATACATACATGCTATCAAACCCCAAACAGCAGTTATGTTAACATAATTAACATAGCTATCCAAACTAGTATACTAAATTGTAAACCTTGAATATATTTAATCTACTTGATCACAGTAAGGAAAAATGTCTTCTATAAAAAGCATGCAAAAGTAACTTACGTATCATACAGAAATGCACCTCCCACTGCTGCTATATATACTAGATATATACAGCATACTGTATACCAGAGTTTGCCATACTTACATCCATTTTCTGTGTTTAGTAACGCATAACAAAAATTATATGCTTATTTCAGACAGTACTGAAATGTGTATAAAAATCTTGCAGGTATCTCTACCTTTTTACCTTGAAATCTTCTCTTCAGTCTCAGCAACAGACACCAACCCGCCCCAATTATTAGCCCAGAAAGCAGTTAGCTGGCTTGTTTGTCACATTCTTTCTTCCAGCCAATATTAATACAAAGTATTCACAACTGTTCAATTAATTTCAGGTGCTACTTACACTGGGAATGACCTGGAGGTCGCGTGTTACTAACACTACTCTCAAAGGAAGAGTGGAAGTTGTGTATAGTTTCTTGTAAAATCTGTCTCTCTCGGCCCTGTAAAAGCACAATAAATTAAAATAAGGTATTCTTAAATTTCTGTAAAAAATTAATTAATTTATTAAGAGTTCACAAAAAAAATGTGTAAATACATCTGTCTATGCCTAGAGAGTCACAGTGTACTGTTACAAATAATAACAAATCTTTACCTCCCAGATACATATAAAACCCTGCAGTAATCTTTTAATGAAATTACCAGACAGCTACAGAAGCATTTTCATTACTTTCTTCACAGCTTTATAGCATGGAGCATCATCCACCTTCCCTAATTTTTAGCTTTATCATTTGCTGTTGTTGATCTTCACTTGGTGAAATTATGTTTTGCTTAGCTGAGCTTCCAGTATCAGAGAGAGAATGGACCTCAAAACCGCAAAAGCAGCTGAGAAGTCTCAACAGGCCTAAATACAGAGATGCTCCAGTCCATAATCTCTCTGACAAGAGCACTCCTTACTGAATGCCATTCTTTGCAAATTCATTTCTGTCAATATAAAGTTAAAAGGCAACAAAAGTGTAAGGAATGAGAGAAGTGCTGTTTATCTAATCACAGAGAAATCAAAAACTGTTAGGCAAAACAAAGGAGACCTTTCTTTCGACATTATATTCTCCAGCTGGACTATAGTGGCCAGGTGATTCTTTTTAGCATCACTGAAATCAATACTCAGTAACTGCAATATTGCCTATATTTATGTTAACAGTAGCTTCTGATAAAATTTCCCATAGTCTGTAACAGAACTGTACAGTAACTAAACTAGGAAAGGGTTAATGAAAGAGAACAAACAGGGACTGCCACAAAGGAAAATATTTTCACTAATCAAATACATTAAATGTTTTGTTTGGAAAACATTCTTTTGAGTTTTTTAACTAACACCTGCAACTCGAATTTTGAAGTGTATGTTGAATTAACAATATAAGCAAACCTTGAATTAATTTACTCAGTACTTCAAAATGTACCTTTCCTGCATTCAGTTCAGAAATAGCTGCCAAAATTTGCTGCCTTGACCCATCAGTTTTAATACCCAGCTCTTTCAGATCGCCATCAGTAAGCGTAAGGAAGGCTTCCATATCTACCTGCATATGAAAAAAATAAAAGAAAAAAATAAGACAAATTTACCTAGGCAAAGATTCACTATTACAGGTTAAAAGTAGTAGGTTTTTATAATTGTATAGACTTACTGTAAATATTACGCACAGAAATATTTTTAATCAATTACCAGCACCAAATGGTACCCACTTTACTACTTGGTTGTCAGGTTTAAAATCTGCTGTTAATAATTCAATTAATTCTGATAGTATATTTAAAATGTTAATAGACTATTTTTTTTCAGACAAGCTTTGTCAATACAACATATATCCTCTCCACAAAAACTGCTCTACTTAGAGCAGCACCTAGCCAAATAAGCCCAAGATTTCTCTCTTCTCTGTCTCCCTCCATCCCTCCAAGCATTTTTGGAATTTCAGAATATACTGTGTACTTTTCCAGTGTCTCCTGAGGAAAACCTAGGGTTTGCTCATATATCAGGTTTTTATTATATCAACACATCCATAAGGCTCTGATACAAACAAACATCTAAAACTTTTCATATTGATATAACCTTCACACACGGAGAATATTCATTTCTACAAAATGCTCCCTTGCCTATCATGTAGGAGAACAATAAGCCCAGTGCATTGTGATGCCGCTAAAAAAAAATATCTGTGTTTGTGGTGCTGAATCCTGAACTCTGCAGCAATGTCAATTTATTGTATTCCATTCACTACCCTCTGCCTTTGGATAAACAAACACACAATTATTGCTCACATCTGATAATTTTTTAAATATTGTAATGAATTAATTTTACTTCTTTTCAGGTATGTTTCCTTTCATTGTTTCCTTCAGGCAAGTCACTGTCACAGCCTTCATCTACAATGATATCTGGGTTCCCCAATTTAATTCTCCTGTTGTTTATTCATAGCGGATAAAGAAGGGAAAGCAGCCATCCCACTGACTCACACCCTGCTGTTCTCCATCTGCAAATGAGGTTCCAGCCGTGATTCCAGGGATAATACAGTATATCCTATAAACTGTTTAACCACATTGCATATAGATATACACAGAAAAAGCAGAGTTTAAAAACAGAAAAAAAGAAGAAAAAAGAACTGAAACACCTATTTGCATCAAAACAGTAGGTTCAGTGTAAAAAGCACTGATATGTCAGTATCCTAGAAAATGCCAGGAATACCACTTGGTCCAAGTTTCAAGGTTCTTTCTGCAACCAGAAATAGTTGTAAAATTAAATGTGAGATTCTGGATCACAATTCTGATGCAATGTGTGCCATACACCCTACTTTTTCTAAAACAGTAGAAAATAGATCTTTTTGAAAAGACATACCTCTTGTTCCTCAAAAATAGGCTGGTATTTCTCAAGTGACAATTTTTTAAGGATGCCAGTCAGCTCATCTGTAGTAATAGAAAAGAATAAGAAAACAAAAAAAACCCCATGGATCAAGAAAGATTGTAGTGTTCTCTGCACTGTTAACTGCTGAAAATATATATTAAAACATATATTCAATGCAGTGATATATGATACTAAAAACCCAATCACATTTATTCTGCAACAGAAATTAAAGTATTGGCTTATTGTTTTCTTACCTACTTCTGCATACTGCAATTCCATCTAATCTTACCTTGCTAGGATAAAACTTTTCTGTTGTATTGCTCTTTCTTCTTCCTTAAAAGGATCTTAAAAAGCCAAACCACTAAGGACAACTTAGGCATTTCAATGCCTAAAACGCAGGTGCTTGGCCCCCCATGGCTGACCCAGGTCATGCAGATTAGACAGCAAAACTCCTCAGGTAGGCAATGAACTGAATGGCATATTCCCAAGTCATGATCCAGGACAGCAAAGTGTAGAGCAAGCAACCACCCAGTTGCTCATTCAAAACAGTAATACAAGGGCATATCTTCTACTGGCTTTGCATAGCAAGATTTTGGTAGCTGGGGAGCCTACAGGGGTGGCTTTTTGTGAGAAGTTGCCCAAAGCTTTCCCTGTGTTTGATACGGCCAATGCCAGACGGCTCTAAGGCCAAAGGCTGGCCAAGGCCGAACCATCAACGACAGTGGTAGCACCTCTGGGATAACATATTTAAGAAGAGGGGGAAAAAATTCCAACCCAACAGCAGCCAGAAGAGAGGGGCGAGATTATGTAAGAGAAACAATTCTGCAGACACCAGAATATGCTTTGCTTTTATTTATTTCACTTATTTGTCTTTTGACTATCCTTTTTTCTTTCATCATTAGTAGAAACGCTAAAGAGAATCTCACTCTCTGAGCTTCTAAAAAGAAACCAAGTATCTTGAGATGGACACAATTTGCACCACTCTGGAAGCCTCCTTTTTTACATAGAACAGCTCACAGAAAACTGAAGTGAAAAATTCTAGTTGAGTCTTATTTTCTGCTAGGGTTTCGGTTTTTTACCTCAAGGCCAATTAATTTGGTATGCTTAACACGATTTGTAAAGGTTGGTGTGGTTTCAGGCTAAAAGCTTTAGTACCCTAACTCAGGTTAATCCATAGGAAAAGGCAACCAGCTTTAAAAACATAGCATGAGAACTTGTCCATGCAGTTTGATGAAAAATACCACCTTACAGAAGGAAAACAAAAGTTTCATTCAAAGCCCTTAGATATATTATTAATCCTCTTTTCTTTTAGGTTGTTAGTTAGCCTTCTCATTTTTTATCACACTGATGTGCTTAAATTATAGGTTGTAATATGGGAAGAAACTTTCAGGGTCTGAGCCCAAGAGCACCACTGTCACAAACAACATCTAACACTTTTCACAGAGACAATACTGTCAGCTGTAGGCTTTTCATGTTTTGTTCTCCTCTTTCCCTCTTCCAGTTCCTTTATCATACATTAAGTTTGAACAAACCCAGAAACTTCTCAAGTTTTACAGCTCTGGCGTAACATATTATTTCTCCTTTCCTTTTTCACTAAATCTTTCTTTTGCTCTACTTGTATCTTGTCTCCTTACCTACAGCCCTGGAGAAAGAAAAGGTTCTCAGAGCCCTTACTACTTCTGCCACATTACTCCTATTTAGCACCTCTTTTGTACTACTCTGTAGTAGTAGGGTAAGATTACCTTTCTCCAAGTTTTCAGATCCTCCTTTTACTCTCACGTGGTTTCGTCTTTCATGACTCTCTACATCACTGGTTCTCAGAATAGCGACAAGCTGTTGATGGTCCACCAAGTGGTTGCCTAAAAAGAAACCACGCACACCTCTGAACCCTGCTGCCTACTGTTCCTTCACAGTAATATTCAATGCAAATCAGTTTTCTAGTTCATTTATGTTTACTTGAAAGAAAAAGAAAAGTTAGCATTGCAGGCCTTCTGTACTTATTTTTCCAATTACTGATGGGCCTGTGAGCATTTGTACTGCTGTTGCTGAATCAGCTCACAGTAAGAGAAGTCCTGGACTGCTTAACCATGAAAGCTTACAATCAAAATGAATCCAGAACTACTTTGGCTTCTGACAACCTACCCCTCTGCTACAGAGGAAATGTGCTGTATCATGGCACTAGTGGTGCAGTCAGAAAGGTCACCTTCTCCAGGTGAGAATCTAACAGCTGAAAGCTTGGGGAATTCCCTTGTTACCCAACAGAGAGTTCTCTTCCCTTTATATATTTCTACACCAACAACTCTTATGTCTTCGTTATAAAATGGCACTAACTAAAATGTGAAGGGATTTTCTCCAGCAGTCAGTACAGTCTGTGGCAGCTGAGCCATGATAGAAGGGCAGAAAGCAGATCAAGTATCATCTCTCTTTAGTGTCAAATGGAAGTACAGTGTCAATGGACAAAGTCAGCATAAATCAAAACAAAACCAAATCAATACAGACACTTTCAAAAAAACCAAAAATAGTACAAAATGCCTCTCGTAGAAACCAGATAAAAGGTACTTCCATCTCTTATTTAAAAGATTGAGTCATGTTATTTTTTTCACTTTTTTTTTGAGATGTTTAAGAAGGAAAACTAATTGTTATCCTGTTTCCAATGCAGTAACATTGCTTTTCTAAATAAAGTGTTGCAATTTAGACCTAAATGTTCGACCTAAAAGGCAGCACTCTTATTGGAAAAATACTAACTTTAGGTTATCAGAAAGCATAATAAAATTAAAAATGAGGCCAAAATAAGGCTACTTTTGCAATTTAAAAAAAAATAAATGCAATATAGCTCTTAAAAATCAATTGCATGAAGCTCTGGCTTGCTAGGAATCAAAACTGTGTCTGTAGTGATGTGCTTCACTGCACTTATTAAGAAAAAAAATAATTTCAAATGTGGAAAAAGTGCATTTTCTACCGTCAGCAACCAGTGAAAAACAGGATTTAAGTCAGAAAGGGGGGAAGGAAAGAGGCCACATAACCGTGCCCTATGCTAGCTTTGAGATGGCAGCAACCTCCCTCCAAATAGAAAGGATTGCAGCTTTTGGGAGAGAAATAGCCTGTTACTGCAGGAATGCCAATCTCACAGTAAGAAAGACCTAAGAAAAGTTTTCACTCTCATGCAGATACACATTAATCCAGTACAGTTATAGCTTTAAACACTCTGTGCTCCTGATGAATGAATCTCCTATAATTACAGTGACCTACTCACCATCTTCTGTAACAGTCCCGCTGCTGGAACCATTGCTCTTGGCCTGTCTGTGAGAAGAGGAGAGAGAAGACTCTGCGTTGTGAACCTTGGGAGATGGGGAGGGTGATGGGGAAGGTGTGAGAGTTGGTGATGTGCTTTTAGACGTAGATGAAGTCCCAGATGGAGGTCTTTTGTTCATCTCCAGTTTTTGCTGTAGTTAATAATACAATCATTTCGTTTAATACAAAACCAACAGTGTGTTTACCTATATATGATGCTTCAATGTTACTTAAGTTGCTTATCATTTCTGCAGAGCGTGTGGTCACAACCAGAAGTTTCTGCTTGATTCACACTGAAATAATTGGAGCAATACTGATTTATCCCAGGTGAAAGTCCATCCCCTTGAACTCATAAAGAAAAGTACTTCTATTAAGGATGTAATTTTGGAATAAGAAAATTATTTCTATAAAGCAATACTATACACAAACACCACAATTATTCTTTTTAGAAAAACTGAAATTCATTTGACTCTGAAAAAAGGCCTTTTTCATTCAGGAATTTAATTAAATAAATAAAGCCTCAATTAAAGCTTTTGAACATACATCAGATGCTAATTTAAAGTAGCACTTCATCCTGGATTAACCAGAAATATGTAAAAACCATAAACTAAGTTTCAGGTGCATTTAAACCCCTTGCTGCACTGGAATGAAAGTTTCTAGTTTACCTTTAAACTTGTTATTACCTAACATGAATAAAATGATTCAAATTCATTAAATATTTTGCAAGTATTTTAGACCTTTGGAGGCATTGAAAAGATTAAAACAGACAAATTAAAATTAGGAATAAGAATATATAGGTACATACAGTATATCAGTCTTTTCCAAAATAAGCTAATTTGCCTCATATCCTAAACTCCTCAATATATGTTTCACTTCATACATTTCCATGTTTGTTTTGTATGACCTAAAAACAAGTCTTAGGTGGTTTTCTCCTGGATTCCTGAATTGAGAGCCTCAATTAAAATAACTTTTGTCAGTCAGGCTGATACAAGAAAAACATAAGGAAAAAGTTGATCTGGGTAACAAGGCAAGAAGGGAGAATGACAGTGGTTCATGGTTCCTGCCTCTCTAAAATTAATTAATGCTTCTGGGCTATGGCATAAATGACATTTTTCTAGTAAATGAAAGAGACGGTATTGAAAAGATAAAACTGATTTGAGTGGTAAGAAGCGTCTTCCATTACTCTATCCTATGTCAGAATGTGTGAACTCCTTAGCCCTGCACTGAGTTATCCAGAAGTAATGTAACATTATAGAAATGTGAGAGGTAGAAATGTGAGAGATAGAAATATGCTCTGAAGACCATACTGAACTTATTTCAATTTTTGGACCCAAATTTCCCTGTATTCTATTACTGGCCGTCTGTGTTTCAGAATGGTCTTTCCTCTCTATTGCATTGTCTGCATTTAGTTAAACTACATCACCCTGTAAATTGTTATTCAGTTTTCCTTTTCTTTTCTCTACGGCTTGTACAATCCCAGCCCTCATGGATAACTTTTGCAAAAATGACCAGCGTAACATCGCTGCATTTTTAGATCCGCTATTTCCAAGCTTAAACAGCTACTGGGAGGGCACAAGCAATTTGACAATGGATACAGACATTAAATTTTCGGCACTTATGTTGTTGATTACAACAGCAAAGTAAGCCGTTTAAGCTTTTGCAGCCAGTGTGGATCCATGTGACTGTGTACTCCCAACAGACACTGATGTCCCAAAAATCACATCAGACGTGATACATGAACATCTATAGTGAGATCCAAACTGATGACATGTATTGTTACTGGTGGATAGACTGAAATTATCTAGACATCTAAACAAAGATCACTGGAAGAGCTGTTGCCTTGCCAACATATCGGCAACATTTTCATTTAAAAATCTTTTCAACGTATGATGAAAAGCCTTCCCAGAAGAAGATCTGCAGGGCATTGCACCTCACTAGTTCTTTATCCCCTAACGTCTTCCACTGTGAGTGTGAACAATAGGTAAACTTCTTAGTGGCAGCATTGTTGTAACAACAGGCCCCAAGATCTGCAGCTCAAAGCTCACAGGCACAAGTATTATCTCTTAATAGGCTAACTAATATAACTGAAGAAAAATAAGATTTTTTGGGGCACACAAGCAGCTCTTCTGAAATTATTTCCAAGATAAAATCCAGCTGAGAGGAACTGCTGAGAGTTTAATTAGATATATATTGGTCAGACCACCTCTGGAGAAAAAAAAAAAAAAAGCATTTGGTAACTGTTCAGTAGGAGACTTTAATGAGGAAAGAGGATAATACAGTGGCTTTGTCTACAGGAAAGAAAGAGACAGATCATTTATAACCCAGGGAGCAGTTATGTGGGATAGAAAGGGAGGAAAGATTATCATGTGCCAAAGAATCAGTATGAGTCCATAGCTTTTTGGAGGTCCAGCACAGTAATAAATTTTAGCTCCCAATCTCATCTTTGAAAAGCAACAAGTAGTCCCTTCAGCATCAGGATCAGAGACAAAGTAACTATTCATGGAAACTGTTTTGGCATTGGTAGTTGCATACTTTTTTTTTTTTTTCCTGATTTCTACCCTCCAGAAATTTCAATTAAATTACAGAACAACTTTCTAACTTCATTTATCATTTATATTTACTGATTAAATATATATATATAACTTACTGTTGTCATATAAGACATCACAGACTGACACAGCAAATGTAATGATTTTATACGCTGGCCTTTTTTGTTTCCTTGGGCAAAACCTCAAAAAGAATCTCATGAGAAGATGCAAAGATAACAAAACAAAGCAGAAGGAGCTGTTTGGAGATTACACAAGCAAAAAGTTGAGAAATTTTGCTCTTGGTCATGTATTCTAACATTTTCAGAATGCCAGGCATTAGAAATAAAACCCCCAATTATCTGCTTGCTTTCGCTTGCTCTCTGAAATGCAATGTTTCCCTGTGTGAATAAACCCACACATTTCACAATAATGTATCACATCTTCTGTTATGATGCTGCTTTCTAACGTGTGTCTCTGCAGATTCTGAAGATTTAAAATCTTAATCCTTAAAAATTTTGTACAAAGCAGTTGTTAACTTCAAAGTACACGCACAAAAATGGGTGAGTCATGAGGGTAAAGGAAAGACATTGAGGTGCTGGAGAGAATCCAGAGAAGGGCAATGAAGCTGGTGAGGGGTTTGGAGAACAAGTCTTATGAGGAGAGGCTGAGGGAACTGAGGCTGTTTAGCCTGGAGAAAAGGAGGCTGAGAGGAGACCTTATTGCTCTCTATAACTACCTGGTTGTAGAGAGTTGGGGGTTGGTCAATTCTTCCAAGTACCAAGCCACAGGAGAAGAGGAAATGACCTCAAGTTGCGCCAGGGGAGGTTTACATTGGATATTAGGAAAAATTTCTACACCAAAAGGGTTATCAAACATTGGAACAGGCTACCCCAGGGAGGTGGTGGAGATATCATCCCTGGAGGTATTTAAAAGTCAGGTAGACGCGGTGCTTAAGGACATGTTTTCGTGGTGGTTTTGTCAGTGTTAGGTTAATGGTTGGACTCCGTGATCTGAGAGGTCCCTTCCAACCCAAACCACTGTGATTGTTGTGGTGGGCAGATCCTGGCACAAAATATCACATGTTCTGAACTCAGATTGTGCCTTTGGAGAGAAAACCTAGCCATACCACTCCAGAGTGAAGCCCAGGAATAACTAACATAAAACACTGGACTCAATTAGGGCCATAGAAAGAAATCATGGGAAACCAAAATAACAGTGCAGATCTACCATAAGATCAAGTATTACATTTACTGTTTTGAAAATAGAGTGAAATTAATACTAAAGCAAAATCATGTTTTATTAATAGGTCCAACCTTTTGTAGACCTGTAATTAAAAGGAAGGTTTGCGGAACTGAAAAGTTTCCACTACTGTAGCACATGTTCATTCACTTTCAGCTACGCAATGTCATGCAGTTATATTTATCAACCACCAATAACTGAGAAATGACCTATTAAAATTAGCCGATTTGGAAATACAAACATTAACATTTCTCTTTACCTTTACAACATGCCCATTGCCAACAATTTGAGCACATTGCAAATCAGCCAGAGTGGATGAAGGAGTTGACTGGACTGGACTATGCTGTTGACTGGGTTTCTGTTCAGGTAAACCTGCTGCTTTTCTTCTTTGGGCTGCAATCTGAGACAAAACATTATCCGCACTGCCACCTAAGAAAAAAATAAAATAAAAACAGAGTCAAGGAAAACATAATTTTAAAATATTTGTTAATTCTCAATGCACCTCTCTCCACCATCCACTTTCTTATAAAAACTGACTGGATGTAATAAGAGAGAGAATTGTAAGATTCAGTCCTGTTCAGCAGTTTTCAGGAAAGGGAATAAAAATGAACCACAGGAGAAGAGAGAAACCAACCTTGTCTATACACACACAGAGCTGACCTTCATACTCTTTGGACAATAGGTTTCACAAGCTGCTTCACCATACTGTGCTTACAGCTGCCAGATACAATGCTTGCAGCTTTGGTTTTAATTGAATACTGATTTTCATTTTGAACAAAAAGCAAGCAACATGGGTAAGAGAAAAAGGCAGCTCCATGAAATGTATGTCGCAATGAACAAGCATCCACCTGATCCATCGTGAGTGGACTCCATAAAATCAACATGTTTTTTCTGAGACTGCGGCTAACTTATAACAGATGTGAGGCTTTTGTTTCCTTGTATAGGTGTCCAAAGTCCAATCCTGTTCCAACAAAATTTATGTATGTTTTGCTTACACAGGAACAGGAGCCCCCATAAGAGGCTTAGTATCTTCTACCATCATCACAAACACTATTTTTTTAGTTGAACCAGATACAAATGACTTTCTTAGTAAAAATAAAAGCAGTATGCTACCTGATCTGTTATGCAGTTCTCCTCCATGTCTGTTAATTCCTGCAATGTTATTTGATCCACCAGAAGAATGGGGGGAGTGGTTGAAGTTGTTGGAATTCGAAGGAGATGCAGGTCTTCTTGCAAATGTTGGTAATTTGACTGGTCTAGTGCCTTTGCTAACAGATGTCTGGAAAAGAAAAAGAAAAATTATTTTCATCTTTCTTATTTGAGCAAAACAAAGATCAAACTTCAACTGCTATTTTATTTATCCTAAGATCTGAAATTTCCACCGAAGAACAACAGCGGTATTTTAGTATACATTTCGTTTGCTTACTATATCAGAGTTCCCACTGCTGTTGAAATCATGCTTGATTGCTCTCTGTGGCCAGGCAGTTCGCATCTGTTCAGCTTTGCCATCTTTGCTGAGTCGCGTTCGGTCCGAATTCCAAAGCTCAAAACTTGAGGGTGGTAAGAAAGGGGGTATCACTGCTTTCAGTTTATCGCTGGGCAGCCTGGTAAATGGAGCACTACTTCTCAGCTGAGAGAGGGAAACAAAGAAAGGGAAAAAGAAAAGACCCTCTTCTTAAAAAACAGTTAAATAAAAAGATGGAAACAAGTGCATTTTTAAACAAAATAAGATGGAAACAAGATACAGAAGTAGTATTTGTGAAGATGTACAATGCATAATAACAAAGAGAATTTAATGGACATTCTAGCAACCATCAGTATGTTCATTCCTTTAATATAACTAATTAGTTCATTATATGGCAGAAACTGTCTCTTCCTTCATAGGGCTAAATCTTGCTTGAAATAGACTTTAACAGGAATGTTAAAAATTAATTTCTAAAGAAATGACAACGTAGTCCTCCCTGTACTTCCAGATAGGACACCTGGAAACAGTGACAACTGCCTGTTCTCCAGAAACAGAAAAGAATGGCACAACTGATTTGGCGCTCTGAAGTTCTGTCAGTAAGTCAAATCAAAAGTTATTTAATCTTCTTCAAAAAGAACATAAAGGATAATCCGACAAAATTAATGATATTTCCAGGGAATAAGCTGTAGGGGAAGTTAAAGCTACAGCATAACAAAAGAAGAAATAGAATAATACAAATAAATATCCCAAACTAAATATTTCATAGTTGCCTCTACTAGTAATTTCTCACTTCATATTGTACCGTGTTCCATCCATGTTTTCCTCACAGCACACTTCTTGTCAGCAACTAATCAGCTGTTTCAGCTGTTTTACTAATTCATTGCTGATCATACAGAGGTATGGATAACTCTCAAAAAAAGTCAGTACTTGTGAACAGCTTCCATACCATACTTCTTGTAGTACTTCCTAGCCTAAGAACTACTGATGTATCACAGCATGTCAGTTCCTACCTAGTAACTATTAAGAAATGACAGCTCTCTTTCTAATGGTGACTTTGATAGGAGGGGAAAAAAAAAATAATTATGAGAGCTGCATGATCTTCTGAATTGGGCTGAACATACCAAGAACACAGTGACATACCATGGTTGTCAATAATTCATCATCCTTTCCTCCTTTTGCAGTGTTTACACCTGAAAAACATATAAATGATCTTTTATTTTTTACACACTCCTGTTCTCAAGGACAGCTTATTGTTTTAAAATATTCAATAGCTTCACCCTCAGTAAGCACACAGAACCAAGATTTCCAGTGACACTGTCAAGCACCTAAATTAAAGTTAAGACTATTGGCTTCACATCACAAACTGGAAGGGCGGGGAGGATTGGATGGAGAACTACAATTTCAGCAGATGTGCTTTATGATTTGGGTTTTTCCAATCCCTCTGTCTTCCCAGAATTATTAATTTGTTTAAATAAATTTGTTTTCATTACATAAATTAGTTTATTGATGATACTAACAACTTTTGAGTGACCTGTCTCTACTGTCCAATTTAATGGTGCTTGCTACAGAACAGTGACGTTATTATATTAGCATTTTCCTGCTTAAATGATGCTGCACGATTAACAGTCAGGAGTACAAACATCTCTCTATATACTACAAATACATTACACATATTTTCAGTTGTATGAAGCGAAATAAAAACTAAATCAACAAACTAGAAATAGTATCATCTTGACTATTACACAAAGCTCACTTCCCACAAGACAACTCTGGCTTTACCGCTAGTTTTGTTATTTGTGATCCAAGCTGTAGCAGCATCAAGGTTTCCAGAGGTGTCCATATCACTCTGTGAAACTGCTTTTATGGTTGAATTTAATGATGGTTCAGGCTCATCAGGAAAAGGCACAAACTGATTGGAAGGAAACCCATGGCGCAATGTCTGAGTCAACTTCAGCTTGCGGAATCGATTGGACATCCTGCTCCACCAGGACTAGATTGATAAGAAGACACAACAATTTAGTTCCAACTAAAAGAAAAAAAGAGGAGAAGAAATGTACAATTAAGTAAGCCTTACAGCTGTGACAAATCTGTCATGAAGTTTTTGAGATAAACTACAAATGCAATCTTAAAGTGGTTTGCAATTACCAACAGAATCCTTCACCATAAGTTGTATGCATAAAACTAATCTCTTTCCTTATTTTTCATCTGGCAAATGCCTTACAATATTTTTCTACACATACCCGGAAAGACAAGGCAGATAAAAGTATTAGGGCAATTTGAATAGGAAATTTTTACAGCTACACGGCAAATATTTCATTTTCCCATTAACTTTCAATTTCACCATCTGTTCTTACGCTCCCTGGCATCAATGAATTGGCATGAATATTTTCTCTTTTTTAGAGATGTGCATTGAAGTTTATCCGATCTGCATGAAAGCATCTCTTTAAGATTTTCAAAATCACTGGCAACCTGGAAGAGTTCTGACAGCATTCCTGTCAAACTAAAGATTCACAATCCATACAGTGCTGCTATACAGACAACTTAAGCCCTGCCAGACTGGAAAGACTATAAACTGAAAAAGAGCAAGGCAAGGAAATACCAGCTGTGAAAACAACACAAACCTTAAGACTACTACACCTATAACCTCCACCCATACACGTATCACATATGTGGAGACTGTTACACAAGAGGACCATCTCCGCTCAAAAGAACACTTATCCATATATTTACAGACATACATTTTTACAGGCAGACAGCACAATATGTTTCAAGCATTTAGGAGGCCATTTCTCCAGACTATCCAAGACTTATAAAATATATTAAGAAGACCTATGCAATCTGTATTAAACATTACGTGGCTTGTAGGTACAAGTGACATTATAAATGTCGCCTGATTACTTCTAAGTAAAGCTTCTTCATCCCTTTCTGAAACACTTTTTTAGAAAATAATAAAGCCATGTACAAGTGATGATACTTCATCAAGGCAGCCTTACGTGATACCCAATCTAGATAACATGCTATCCTAGCTTCCTCTATTCTTAGCCATTCCTTCTCATCATATATATTCCCCTCTCTCCTTGGCATTTAACATTTTTCAACTGCTTAATCATATGTCTTCCAAACCATCCATACAGTAGAACTAAGTAATATAAACTGTAAACTCATTCCCTGTAAATCAATCCTTCCAGCAGATGATCATTAAAAAGATTTTAAATTTGCACAGAACATTAGTAACGGACAGAGTTCTCAGACCTTTGTATCTCTTTGGAGCCATAACTAATAAAGATTTACGTCAGTTTCAGCAACAAAGACCTGACGGGAAAAGGTAAGAGAGACAGATAGCTCCAAGAAAGCAATAAAAACGACACAGTTCACCATTTATTTACCTTCCAAAAGGAATTGAAAGGGGAAAAAAAAAAAATCCATCTAGTTTTAACACAGAGTACAATGAGCTTACAAAAGAGATTGCTTGCACAATGTGGTTAGTTTGTTACAGGAGCAAGCCAGCTTCAGTGAACAAAATTATCACTTCTAAGTTCCCATCATCTTTGTTACTCTTCTTCACAGTGCTTCTGCTTCATTAACACATGCTCACACCACAAACTAACCCGAAAAGGCGTAAAAACAGCCACTATGCTACCATGTAAATAACTACTGCTCTCCAGCAAAAAAGGAATGATAGTGGAGAGCCTAATCTTATTCCTCTGGTGTTCAGAGTATGGTGGTCTGAACCCTGGAGCTTCTGGTCTGCTGTTGTGGCCTCTCCATATGCCCAACCCCATCACACACATGTAGAGGCTAGAATAAAGGGCTTTAAGCTAGACTGAAGTAGACAAGTAACAAAAATGCATTTGTGGTAAAAAATAGTGTCAGTGAAACAGGCAAAATCTAGCAGCAGTGGGAGAAGGCAATAGTATAAAGAACAGAAAAATAGTGTTGCCACTTGAGAAATACCTTAGACATTTGTATCAATATTAGGAATGAAAGAATAAGGGGAAGAACTGGAAATCTCTGCCCTCAAACAACTTTAAAAAAAGAAACTGAACATGATTCAGGCAATTCACACTGCTCCAATACTGACATTGAAGGGGCACAGGCAGGCAGAAGAGAGAGGCAACAGAATATGGAAAAGGCACAATTTTGTTTTAAAGTCCATAAAATGGTGAGAAACAAAGTAGTTAACAGTTTCGGTGTGAAAGGGGTAACGACTGAGATCATGGTTATCCACTATGTAATCAGTAGGTAAAGAACAAGGGCCTGTATTATGCATAAATTACAAATAAAAGAAACACACAACAAACAACAACAACAACAAAACCCCAACTAGTTAATGACAAAAGTGATCAAACAGCAGACACAGAAAAGAGTTTGTTTTTTTTAAAGTTCAAAAGCAGCCTACTCGTAGTCAGATATTTTTGTATGAATACCATTCAGGAGGAAGGTAGGAATACGTGTACATTTGCTTAACAGACTAAGAATACTTAAATGAGCTTGCTTGAATTAAAACCAGACAAGACTGATCAAAATTACACCAGAGTAAATATAGACAACATGACCTCTGAACAAATATTATTTTCAAGATAAATTAAGAGGATGGAAGAAGTTACAGAAATCAGACAAAAGGCAAATATATAATCACCCTTATCCCAAAGAGGAAAAATCTGAAAATGTACTAGTCAAAAAGCTTAACTTGAAAGAGCATAATTGAAAAAAACAAATCCTCATAACAGTTCCGCTTCAATTTCAAAGACAAAATAATAGCCATGAGTATAAGAACAGTCTACTAAAACTGAAGTATATTGGGATTTTAAACACAGATTTAAAATTAAGATCATAATCAAAATTCAGTTCCAAACTTATGAACAAGATACCTTCCCCTACTTAATTATGAGATGTGTGTCTAGGCACTGAATGCTTTGATACAAACTCTTCCTTAAAAGTCTTCCCTTTGCTTTGCAATCTGACAAAAAGAAAGCTGAAGATATGGTACATTTGATAAAAAAAAGGAAGCACAGTCAACAAGGAATTCAGAACTATCTCTCTGCCCCCCCCGAAAGTTACGTATTAGATCCAAAGTACTTCTTAGCAATGACTTTCTCCATTCATTAAAAGAAACAATACACTGATTATTTATTAAGAGTGAATATATTTACCTTTAGACCTCCTTTGTCATCTGGCAACATTGGGACATTTAAGGATTGCCTACTTCTGGAACAAGGCAAAGATGATCTGTTGTTCAGTTTATTCTTGTCTTTGTCTACTTGCATGCACGCCGATGCCAGTAACCGTACAAGTTCTGTGTCTAAAAGAAAACAAATTAAGATAATGTTTAGTCTGTTTTGCTTTCCCAAATTATGACTGATATGCTGACACTTTTCCTATAAATCCCACAGTAGTGGTAATTGATCTACCTCTCAAACACAAAGCAGAAGAATCCCCAAAACCTTCTTTATTGGCCTATGTTTCCCATCCCTTCTCCCCACACAGTGGACTGCAGTCTCTAACAGTATTTATCAATATAATTAAACATGCTATTCAGTCAGAATCAGTGAAGTGTGACCAAGTGAACTGCCTCATCTTGCACTTTGCAGAAGTTAAGCACAATATTGCAATGCTCCCTTTTCTCACCTGACAAAGAAGAAAGCAGAGAAAAATGAGTATTCTTTCTTCATGCGTAGGTTGCAGGAAAGAAGCTTGAAATTAAATCCCAAAGAGAAAGGAGATGTTCAGCCTAGACCATGAAGGGACTGAAAAGACATGGTAAGAAAAAAGGACCAAAAAAGTAAGAAAAAAAAGAAAGGAAGAAGAAGAAAAAAGAACAAGTATGAGACGAGCACAGGAAAGCAAAAAAAAAAAATATCCCAAGAAACTGTATTTTATACAGAAGTTAGGAAAGACTTTCAGAAGGGCAGACAGAACTGACCTATATATTACTCTTGCTGAACAGCTGACAAAACAAACTACTCTGTCCCACAAGAAGTTAGTCATAAGTAAAAAATATTATCTGTATTTATTTTCTAAAATTTTCTAAAAATTTATTTTATAAAAACTATTAGTGATCTACTTTTATCCACTTGTGACCAAAACCAACATAATGAGTAAATACAGAGAAAACAAACATTAATTCCATCATCATTAGTGGTTTTTGGCTTCAGATAAAGCAATTCAGGTACCAGGCAAGGTTAATAATAACAAATCACATAAGCTAAACAAACTGCAACAAGAACTAAATGTGTTTCATTGAAGCCTCCCCAAAACATGCTGCCTTTTTCTAAAGCACTCCCATAAAAACAACCTCAGCCCTGAAGTGTGATTTATTCTCAGCCTTTACAGACCCAGTGAGAGGTTCAGCCAGGAATCCTCTAGTTTTGTTCTGATTGCACTCTCTTTGTCCTGTCCCTTTACTGCTGTTTACTGAATGGAAATTTCTAGCTGCAGTTGACGGCTCTGTGCTAACAACTACAGAATACCTGGGCCACCACAGTCAAATGCTACTAAACTGGCTCTAGTGACACAACACATTTTGGAGCATCTTCAAAAACAAAGGCAAGAGGAATGAACAAACATGAAAATCTGTTATCTCATAAATGTATACACTCATCTAAGCAATTAACTCAAAACCCACCATTTTCAGGAAGCATTCTTTCTTGATGACTCCTAGCGACTTTAACGTATTTTCTAGTTTGGAAGGGATGTTTAAACTGTTTATGTTGTACATTTCTGCAGTGGTCTTTGAAATAACATACCTGGATCATTCAGCAGCATTATCAGGTCAAAAGCTGTGTATCCATTTTTTGCACGAAGATTGACATCAGCTCCTTGATTTAACAAATACTTTACGACGTCTTTGTTTCTTTGAGGGAAGAAAAAAAGGCATTGCTCATGTTTAAAAAAAAAAAAAAAAAAACAAAAAACAAAAAACAAAAAAAAGAGAGAGAAAACCCTAATACTCCATTTTCATCCTTTTGTATCATTGCTCCTCAATTAAAGATCAGTTTTATCTTTTCTATAGCTAACCAAGTTAACCAAGTCTAAAATTTGCCCATAAACTATTCAGAAGCTTCCATGATTCCTTTGTCACAGTCATTGTTTACTCACCATGAATTACACTAATCAACATGCAGAAAGTCAGTCTAAAAAAACTAATCTAAATAGTCAGTTTCTTAAAATGGAACTGACTCTGGAACTTGTGGGAAACATGTTCCCAATGGAAGACTATCAATGCCTAGGGCAAGAAAGCAGATGGAAAGGCAAAGGTCAGTCCTGTAGTCATCATACACCATCACTAATACTTCAACACAACTTCATATTCAGAATAGGTAAGAAATTGCATAGAAAAAGCCAAATCGACTGAAGATAATTTATAAACTCCAACAGTACTTCACTTAATTAGAGACATAAATTACATAATTGAGAAGACACATTATCACTTTCTTGAGCTGTTTAAAATGCAAAAACGATCAGCATTAAATGATTACCAGCACAAACACCTTCCAACAATAGCTCATAAAATCTAGTTGCATAAAAGGAACTCACCATCCCATTCCCATTAGTCCCTCTCCCCTCCCATACACCTGAATAAATAAGCAGGATTTGCCTTGTGAGTGAAAAACAATACTGTAATTCAGCCTACAAAATAAGCAAACAGACAACAAAGCTAGGAAAAATATATTTAATTCAAAACTCCTATTGAGCAGAGACTGACCTTGTATAAAAACAACCTGTGACACGCATAAGTGACACTGAGCAAAAATTTTAAATAGCAATAGCCGACTGAAAGCTCTAATAGCGAAGTTGACATACAGAGCTCAACCGCTCCACTTCAGAGCGTTCTTGTACAGATGAAGTGTTCACTTTTGAACTCATTCCAGATAAAATCAAGCTGAAATGGAGAAGCAATGTTCCTCCTCTCTTCTAACAAAAGTTCTGCTTATCCCCCTACAGCTTCTCCATATACTTCCCATTGCTTTTCTTCTCTTCCTTAACACTGTGTCATCAACCCATCCTGCTTTCCAGTCCTGCACCTTGAGGGCACACAGACACACAATTCTTTCATGTCCCTGGCTCACACAGACCTTTTCTGCTCTCTCCACACCACTGTTGCTCACAAGAAGGGGCAAGCTGAGGCTCTGAGGAGGCTAATGATTTCCAGTTGTTCGGAAATTTGTAACTGGCTCATACCAACCAAGGAGAAAAGCTAGGATGCAAACTACAGAATTAAAAGGGTAAATATTTATTCATGCACATGAGGTGTCCCGGCCAAATTGGGGTGTGTTGAATGTGGTTTTATACAGGGTTCTTGTACGTTGAAGTGTTTAGGTACAACACGACTTCACTAACACCCACACTATCGTTACAGATCATAATAAAACTCTGCAAAGCAACTGTATTTCTGTAGCTTTCTTGCTGCTTGTCTGTTCATCCTGGAGTTGTTCCTGGAGTCGCTCTTGCTATTGTTGCCAATGATGCCAACCAACAGTGACAGGGTTTCAAAGATGTGTTAGAGGGGCTACGATGCCACTGTTATCTTGGTCGACCAGGGGTATCTTTTATCTTTCATGGATAGTTTTCCTTTTATCACTGAAGCTTTTCTTGACATCTCTGGCCGGATTTAACTCTTGGGCTTTAGTTTTCCTAACCTGATCCCTGGCTGCTCAGACAATTTCTCTGTATTCCTTCCAGGCTACCTGTCCTTGCTTCCACCCTCTGTAGGCTTCCTTTTTGTGTTTGAGTTTTCCCAGCAGGTCCTTGTTCATACTTGTTCATCCATGCATGCTTCCTGGCATTTTTGCCTGACTTCCTCTTTGTTAGGATTCATTCCTCCTGAGCTTGAAGGAGGTGATCCTTGAATATTAATCAGCCTTCTTGGGCCCTTCTTCCCTCCAGGGTTTTATCCCATGGTGCTCTGCCAAGCAAAGTACCTACATCTGGACCATCTTATGTAGGTCCCAGGAACTACTTCAGAAAATTTTTAGAAGTCAGTGACAACTTGACATCCTATTTTTCCCTTTTGTTGCAATCAGTTCTCCAGTGAGCACATTTCAGAGAACTCAATGAAAACTAAAGGTTGAATAGGGGAACATAAGAATGGGCTTAAGACTAGAAAATATGGCACATGGAAGGGTGATTGCCTTGAAGTTTCACAACTTGATGTAGGCCTACCATCCTGGCAGGGGGTGATACTATCTTACAAAATACTAAAAAACATCCAAGGATAGAAGTTGGAATCTGCACTAAATCTTCTAGTGCCTGCCTGGAGCACCATGTTCCCAGCACTTATTGAGCAAGATTCAAGTTCCCAAATACGCCACTCATTCTGCAATCCAAATGGCATTCTGGTCTGCTCTGAAAAGCTGAGCTGAAGAGTCCTGAAAAACTGAGGCCCCAAATCTCTCAATTCCTTGTAAGACCCCTCTGCTTCCAGAGTCAGTATCAAATATATTTCTTTTTCTATTGCAATGTGAGAAGAATGAAACTTTTTTTACTGATAGACACAAAGAGAACATATATCTTACCCGTGGTATGTGGCCTGCATTAGTGCTGTCCAGCCATGAACATTATCCCGTTTGTCAATATCAGCATTTTTCTCAACAAGGAGCTGAACGAGGGGCAACTGTCCAGTTACAGCCGCAATCATTAATGGAGACGCGCCATCAACATTGGTAATATTGACCTGACATGGGTCTTCATCAACAATCTCTTTAACCAGCTGAAAGTTTCCTGTAAAATAGAAATAAAACATAATCCATTTGAGCAACGGAGAACTGCTTAGCTGCTGAATTTGTATGTATTTTGATTTGCTGACATTGGTCTACATGGAATTAAAAGAGAAAAAATAAAGTATTAGAGCAACTGCAACACTAATGCTTAAGCTCACCAAGCTCCCTTACTTTTTGATGACATACAGCAGACAAAAGCAGGGAAAAAGCTGAGAGGAAAGAAAAAACAGATCTCTGTGAGCGAAGATTTAAGACTGTAGGAATAGAGGCAAGAAGCAGCAAATCATCAACTTCCATGCAAATAGTAAAATTCTCACCTTTAAAAAAAACTTCAGATGGTAAACTGCTTCATGACAAGAGCTGCCTTCAACTCAACCACAAGCATGAACATTTTCCTTGGAAAGTGAGTCAGAATCCCAGACACCTCCTGCAGGCACTTGAATGCGCTCACTGAAAATAACACCCACCCCACAACTCAGCTAATTTCTTGGAACAGGAAAGATACAAAAGCACCGAACTACTTCTTTTATGTCCCAATTAAGGAAAAGACAGCAGGTGGCTTTTTTAAACACAGACCCGCATCACAGACTTTGTTAAACAGAAACCCTGGAACCTACAGAGACTCCAGAACTGACTTTGAACTCTGGCCTGCACACTTCTTAAACTACTGAGTTGGTTTTTTTACAGTGCTGCCACCCATAGCAAAGCATTTCAGAAAAAAACCAAAAAGAGTATGCTGCCCAGTATTCATTTGGCTTCCCCCATAGGACTCCTTCTGACCCAGAACTAATGTTTATAAATCTCAAACTAAAAGTCACAGAGGTAGAAGAAAGGCAGCTGAACTCCCTAAAATCTAACAGACCTGAGGCCTCGCTAGGAAGAGGCCTTGGTGGATGTCATGGTTTAACCCCAGCCAGCAACTAAGCACCACAGAGCCGCTCGCTCACTCCCCCCACAGTGAGATGGGGGAGAGAATCAGAAAAGTGAGAAAACTTGTAGGTTGTGATAAAGACAGTTTAGTAAGTAAACCAAAGCTGCGCACGCAAGCAAAGCAAAACAAGGAATTCATTCACTGCTTCCCATCAGCAGGCAGGCATTCAGCCATCTCCGGAAAAGCAGGGCTCCATCACATGTAATGGTTACTTGGGAAGATAAACACCCTAACTCCAAATGTACCCCCCTTCCTTCCTCTTCCTCCAGCTTTATATGCTGAGCACGATGTCACATGGTATGGAATACCCTTTGGTCAGTTGGGGTCAGCCGTCCCAGCTGTGTCCCCTTCCAGCTTCTTGGGCAGGCCAGTAAGAGAAGCTGAAAAGTCCTTGACTGCTTAGAAATAATGAGAATATCAGTGTGTTATCAACACTATTCTCATTCTAACACAGCACCTACTAGAAAGAATATTAACTCTATCCCAGCTGAAACCGAGACGGTAGCTTATGCGTGAATTGACATTTAGGAGGGAGCTCCCAGTGCTGCTACCAATCACCTGTTTCTTGTCCACTATTATGTCTGCCCATTTTGAGTTCTGGCAGCCTGAAAAGCCTTAAAGTTTCTGACACAGAGACTTAATGATGGTTCATTGAAAAGCAACTGTTAATGCAGTAAGACTTGGAAGATAACTGTCAATTTAAAGATGCATTGCTGAAATCCATTTGGACAGATATTGGGAAAAAATGGTATTTTCCTTCACAAAAATCACTTAGTCCCAAGCAAGGGCAGGTTGACTGGAGAAGAAACAAACGAGAATGAGAGGTCTCATGGGACACCTCTCATGACTTCAATTGACATAAGATTTAATCTTACATGAGGATAACATCTTTCAATATTTGGGAGAAAAAAAAAATCCATCAGAAACTTTTCTTTACTACTAAGTGACTATGTTTTCCTGATTGTCTACATAGCTAGGACTGCTGGGAATAGGGTAAACATGCTATCATATAGCCGAGAACATATTTAAATGGAAAAAGACCAATTGTATGAGCAGTAATAAGATACGGTTCAAGTACTGAATCTCTCCAACCTGTCAAAGAGATAGCAAACAGTGCAGAGTTTTCTGACCAGCAACATTATCAGGAACCTCAGCAGAAAGTGAATAGTCTTGTTTCCTGTGCCAAAGCCATCAGATAGCAAGCCTCAAGCCAAATTAATCCTTTCAGCACTTTTTCCTATGCTGGAAGATCCAGGAAAATAGCTAACCAGAAAGCATCCTGCCATCCACTGCAGGCGCAACCCATCAGAGCCAGGATGAAATTTAGATCAACAAGAGGGAATTGGCTTTTTCTGTTTGCCATGGAAAAGATTTAGCAGTTGTGTGCTCATGAAAGTCACTCTTGCTCATGAAAGAACATGCAAGATCTGAGACACTTACTCTTTTTCTTGAAGCATCTTTAAAAAGGAATTACAATGCTAATACGGAGTAGAGGCCAGCATATTTTTGGCACTAATTACCACTTTTATTTTCATACTTCCAGTTTACCAAGAAGGAAAAAAAAAATCATATTAAAGGTAGCATGGCTTTGGAATCACTGAAACTACTAAATCACACCACTTTGGCATGAAGGGCACAAACAGGAGTCCAAAAAGATTTTCTTATTTTGGAATGTGAAGATAAATAAATATAAACTACAGAAATAAATGTATTATTACAATGAAAAGAAAAATAAGGAAAAATCATAGTCATGTGTAAAAAAAGAACATGTCTCAGCTTCCCATGTTAATTAACAAACATGCTCTGCAGTTACAAGAACCAGACATGATGGAAGAGTCCTAACAGTACTTACCCAATTTCAAAGCATGAAAGACATCAGGCTGCCTCTTTTCTGTATCTGGAAGAAATATAAATATTTCTATTAGCAATGATTAAAAAAGAAAAAATGTCTAGTAAAATTTTTATAGCAAAAGCTATTAAAAATGTACATAAAAGTAGTATAAAACATATGTCTAGACACACATTTAATAAGAACAAGGAAAGCACTGATAACCTTTTGGGAGGAATAACTCACCTGTACGGTTCCCTGTGCAGAGTTAAAGCTACAAACTATAATAAAGCACCAGTACAGCCTTTTGCCTTTCAACTTCCATTCTGTATCATATCAGGAAATTGTATTTGGAAACTTTTGTGTTTCCTGCCTGGAAGACTAAAATATTAATTAAAGAACCACAGTATCATTCTGTGGTCTGGTGTAATCCTCTATACAACAACAAACACTCAAATAGTACAGGATTATTTTGAAAAGTGACTCAAAAGAGTTTTACAAGATGTCCCATTTTTCTTTCCTTTTCAGTATTGCCAGGTTAATTTGTGAAGGTCACAAAAATAATATGGATGACTTAACTACACAGCTTGCAATTTGTGCATTAACGGATATCCTTCAGCTCCTAGATCGTCATCCTCATAGTAAGAACTGTAATTATTACGAATTTTAGTATTTTGAATGAAGGATCTTTCTTTCAACATGCCTGCAAAGTTCTTTGAAACTGCTGACATTACACAACATGAGGAAAAATAGTGACATATTTTGAATCTTCTACTCAAGCCAGAAAAATATATTCTCCTCCATCTTCCAAAGCATTACTGACACTACAGAACCAATGAGGTAAAAGGATTTTAAGGAAAACAAGGGGTAGTTGAGAGATTTCCCAAGCCCGATTCTGCCATTTTCATGATAATACAGAAAAGGTTAATGTTCATAGCTTGACTCCAAAGGAAGTAATTTAAAAATGCTGAACAAAATCAATTGCTAGGAAGACCCAAAGAACATGAGAAACTCTTATTTTAAGACTGGGGGAAAAAGCTGTGGGTCCTCTATCTTCTCCTGGTTCAGAAACTGATCTTACAGAAGGAATTGTGTATGATCTCACCATTGGAAATTCAAAAGACTAGTTGAGAAAAGGACCAGACTCTGTACTTGGCATGCAAAAAGCTTGGAAAAGAGGCAGCCTCAGGGAGCAGGAGACCACATGAAGATGCCAGAAGGAAGGACTACCATCCGAGTAAGCTGAGGCAAGGACAAGGACAGAATACAGGCAACACCCAACCCATTTCAGATCGTTTTGAATTTGTTACTGAAAACAGCCCTGAGAAGAGAGCTGCTTTCTTTTGTGAGGCAATTCACCCTATCTATGGCAATGGATCAGAAGACAAGTTCCTTTTCTACAGGAAGGACACAAACCTGTTGGAATGCGGAGGGCCATCAAAATGATCAGAGGGCTGCAGCACTTACACTATGAGGACAGGCTGAGACAGTTGGGGTTGTTCAGCCTGGAGAAGAGAAGGCTCCGGGGAGACCTTATAGCAGCCTCCCAGTACATAAAGGGGGTCTACAGGAGAAACGTATCAGGCAGTGGAGCGATAGGATGAGGGGTAATGGTTTTAAACTGCAAGAGGGGAGATTTAGATCCGATATTAGGAAGAAATTCTTTACTGTGAGGGTGGTGAGGCACTGGAACAGATTTCCCAGAGCAGCTGAGAATGCCCCATCCCTGAAAGTGTTCAAGACCAGGCTGGATGGGATTTGAGCAACATGGTCTAGTGGGTGGTGTTCCCGCCCAGGATAGGGGGGTTGGAACTCGATAATCTTTACGGTCCCTTCCAACCCAAACCATTCTATGATTCTACTGCCTTCTTTCCTTCATCTTTTTTTCTTCCCAGGATACACAAGACTCCAGTGCTAGGAGGAGACCGAAGCCAGGTCAAAAACCAACACAGAGATTTGTGTGGAGGCTTAACATTTCTACCCCTCCCTCTCTGCCCTAACTAGTTACTACCCTTCTGCTGATGGAAACTCCCCCTCAGCAGAGGTGACAGGAACTCTCCCTTCTTTCCTTCATCTTTTTTTCTTCCCAGGATACACAAGACTCCAGTGCTAGGAGGAGACCGAAGCCAGGTCAAAAACCAACACAGAGATTTGTGTGGAGGCTTAACATTTCTACCCCTCCCTCTCTGCCCTAACTAGTTACTACCCTTCTGCTGATGGAAACTCCCCCTCAGCAGAGGTGACAGGAACTCTCACCTGCTTTAATGCAAGTTCACTCTCCTAGCTGAAACAGACTTCTTCAAAACTATTAAGTCGTATGGCTACAAAAGACTTTCAAGATTCATCAGGCCAACTCTGCTGCACATAGGTTCTGTATGTGCCAACACATGGGCAAGGTGTAAAGCTCTGCACTAGCGAATCCCCCAGATGTCTGTATTTCTTTGTGTTCTGTAACCAACTGATGTATATTCCTCGGAGACTGGTGATGAGCAAATGTCTACAAGTAAGCCGGTTCTGTCTGGTAGCATGGCTGTATGAACGCCCTAGCTCCCACTTAACCTATGAGTCAACATCCGACTAAGTTAACACCTACTCCGAAGCAGAAAGAAATGTCAGTTTTTTGTCCTTGGTTCTTAAAGTACAAAGGAAGCTCGACTTACAGGAAACACACCAAATTTAAATAAAAACTATCAATTTGGGGGATTGTGGACGTGCCCACATGGCAGTGTAATAAAGGCATCATTAGGTAAGATTTAAATAAGGCTATTTGGGTATCACAAGTGGCAGAGAGCTTAGAGCTCCTACACCGGTAGGGTAGGATAGTCCACTCCGCCACCGTGGGTGGATGGGTGGCAGCACCTGGAAAGGTTCTTTCTAGGGCTAGCCATATCCTTAGACTTCATAACAAGTACTCCAAAGTAGAAAAATCCAAATGCAGCTCTTCCAAACCCTCTTGTTAAGCACCTCCCAGTACTGGTCTGCATCATAAAGCACAATACCTTGAAAAGTGTCCCCAAACAGCCACATACAGAATAAGGTCTCAGTCTCTGAAACATCTTAAGGACATTCAAATGTCCAACACAATGTCCAAACCAAACTGTCTGATTTCAGGAACAGATTTAATGCATTTCTGTTAGCATAAACAAACAGCATGTAGGTTTAACAGTTATCTTCAATAAAAATAAAAATCCTAGGAAATGACACATAAAAACTGATAACAGAATATAAATCTGCTTAGTTTTTAGAAACAAACTTGGGAAATAACTGGTTAAGACACCCAATGTAGTATTCCGTCCTTTTGGTTGAGTGTGTAGTACTGGATATACCGGTTAAGACTGAAGGAGAAATTCTGTAGTATAAGTTTGCTCACAACTCCCTAAGCCTTCAGATCACCTAGTTAAGCTATTATCTCTCTCTATAAAATCTTGCATTTCTTATATCCTTCCACACCCATGGCTAAAGCTACATAACCATCACATGTTATTTAATTACACAGTCACAAAATATTTCTTTATCAATTCTCTTGTCTCATTCACTACACATAACAAATGCATTACAGGGCAAAATTAAAAACCATAAAACCAGCATTTAACTTCATTTTACTTGAGATTTGCATTAAAATAATGTTATTTTAATCTAGTTTTGTACATACAAGGGCACAGTATGTATGCCTATCTGCATGTGTGTGTACTCACACAGAGGCATATTCACATCTGAAGCATAGAGGTTGCTTATAAATTTTATGAAGTCCTGAAGTTAATTAAGGAATACTTAATTCCTCTCTCCTACAAGGAACAGAAAAGTAGGGGACATGTTGACTTGTTATTCATCCACATGAATACTTGTCTTTCTTAGAATACACAGTCCACTATCAAAGGGCTCTAAGGAGGTTTGATATACTCCGAGAATGCTAGAAGAAACTCTTAGGTTAACCTCATCTAGTTTTCTGCATGTCACAGGCCTTGTATGCGACACCCAGTGAAGATGATCCAATGGTGAGGTTTAGAAAGGCATTTAACCTCAATTCAACCATTGGAATCAACTTTAAACTCAGAGTTTTCTTCTTTGGCTGCTGTATAAAAAGGTCATCCGGTATTGGAATTCCCGTCCTTAACACGCACACTTTATTAATCACACCTCTCAACCACCTCCTCATGAAACCAGAGAGATTGCACTTCTTCGGTCTCTCCGTACAAGGCAGGTTTTCTAGATTTTGTATCTTTTAGGTTTTCTTTCTGAGTCTGCAATATCCTTCTTTGATACCCTATTCTGTTTTTGATGTCCCTTCTTTAGTGCCATTTCAAGTAGGCCTTTGTAAATTTCTTCCTAAATGAGCACTTCTATCATGTTTTAAACACAAAAAACAATTAAAACATTAAAATATTTTAAAACATTTCAAATTATTCTTATTGCAGGACAGGAATCTCTTCATGCTAAAGTGGAGGAAATCTGCTGAAGTTGGGCATTCCTGCCTCACCCAAGGTAGGTGTACCTACTCCAACATTTTCAAAAGAGCCTAGTTACAAATTATAAATAACACCGTGTACATGCAAGATAACCTTTAAATTTCTAAACATGCAATCGAAACTTCAAGAAAGTGAGACAAAAAACTAACGCTCCATACCTGCCTGCGGTCTGATTGTTGTGAGAGATTCCAGGTAGTCCTTCATGTCTTTGTGTTTGAAGCCAACAGAGATTTCAAAAGGTGTTTTATGCAGTACGTTCAGATGATCAGGATTAGCACCTTTCTCCATGAGCTGCTGTGCCAAGCTCACCTTTCCACTAACAGCTGCCAGCATTAAAGGACTCCAGCCCATAGTCTTCAGAGTGTAATTACAATCAGCTCCCCAGTCTAGTAACAGATGTACCACTGCCTCATGTCCATGCTGAGCAGCTGCCATTAATGGAGTGATATCGGGAAGGTCATCTCTGCTGCTGTTAAGTACATTTGTGCTAAAATGGTCATAATTGTCTACAAAAGCTCCAGATTCCAGCAACAATTTCACCATGCTGACGTGGCCGCCTCTGGAGGCCATTGTAAGGACACTGGCTCCTAACTTATTCTGTGCATTGAGATCAGCACCGTTCTCCAGCAAGATGTGAGCCACGCTTAGGTGTCCAAACCTTGAGAGAAAGAGATAAGAAGGAGAATTAATACCTTAGACGGCAGAGGCTTCTCAAAGAAAACCAATGCACTCTGAACATGGAAAACTTTGTTACCAACTTGGCCTACTGACTAATACACTACATGGGATCATGCACACACCACTGAACATGACCATGGCCACCTTACTGCAGGCAAGCAATCAACAGCTGAGGAGTGTAAATTAAACCATTCCACATATACCAGTGACCATGCTCACAAACCAGACACCTATTTAAGAGGATGTTCTGGTCAAAGCAGCAACATGCTAGCCCCATTTTCAACTGTATGAGATGAGCATGTAACTTTCATAAACTACAGAGTCACTTTCATCCTCTTTATTTCCAGGCCTGTATCACATTCAGGAATCAAAGCCAGTTTCTTTGCAGATATCTTAATTAAGTACCCTCATTACTACTGAATAAGTAAACATTTCAAAAACTCAGTGGTAAAAAAAAAACAACAATCCCACAAACCATTTTATCAACTGGATAGCCAGCCTTCTGTATTTGCATCATCCCTTGCTTTCCAGTTGTGAACCATCAACAAACCTCTACAACGAAAGAAGGCTCAGAGAAGACAGGCACATACCCACGAAACTCAGGGAAGAACACAGCAAGTGGCCACAGCTGTTGTAAAGAAAGCTGAAGTTCTCTCAACACAAAGGGGACCAAAGGGTGGCTTTTGTTTCAGAGGAACAGCTCTATGAGCAGAGTGGGACAACTGGCTGTGTGAATGACCTTTCTCAAAATAATCGATAGAAAATACTGTCTTTCTGAGTCGGACAGACCAGCATGGGGGAAATGTTGGTCTCAACCCAACACAGAGCACCAAAACTGAGCAACTAACAAAACAAATTTGGAAGTGAGAAAGGGCCTTGAGCTGGCTTCTAGTGACACATTGCTTCCTGGCAATTGGGAACGCCCAGCATCGTGATGTTGAACACACAGGGATGGTGACGGGCATGCTGTTTGTCTTGTGGTTCAACTGTGTGCTGCAGTTCCTACCTGAGGATTGTGTTATGATTTCAGGAGATTGCTGTATCACTAGGCTAAATCAGATTCCTGTGTAACATCAAATATCTTCCCATTAGGAAACTTTGTATTAAAGCATTAAATCCTTCTTGTGTGGAATATCTAACTCCTGACACCCATTTCACCAGTAATCCAGCTTTAACACAACTTGACTATCAGAAGCTCTGGTAGTTTGTCAGTAAGCAAAAGAGACAATCACACATGCCATACACCCAACCAGCTAGTTAACCACGAGGAAACGGAAGCCATCTACCATTCCTCAGCTCAGGAATCCCACATTTTAATAAATATAAAACATTGACAAGATGTGTACTTTATGCTCTTCTTGCAGATTATCATGCATTTCTATATGCTTGAGCAGTTGTTAACACAATTGAGCTTTGATCCTGAAAAGCAGCCTTTGTACACTGCAGCAAAGCAAATATGAATCAAGGAAATCCCGAAGAATGTTATTAACCCCTAACAGCAGACCAGAGACCAGAACTCCCTAGCTTCCTTTCAGCAAGTACACAGTTGCAGAAAGAAGTCTCCAGGGCCTGTCTAGCCCCCAGGTCTATCCTGATAGTCTTCACTGAGCCACCCCAGTAGAGCCTGCAACCACTGTATGCATGGTTAATTTTATGCATATATGCTATCTCCTGTCCAATTTTAACAGGACTAACCACAGCACATTGTTCGAAACCTGCTTTTGTACAAACACTATGTTTCCTTTTTGGTTATCCATTAAAAAGAAAGAAGAACATGCTCTTCCACTTTGAGTTTTCTCGGCAGGTTTCAATGACTCCTACAGTACTTTTCAAATGGCAGCAAGTCATTTCTTTAAAACAGTGAGAGGGTTATAGTGATCTGAGTTTATTGTTTTTAGAGAATGTGCGTACGGTTTTCATTAAGGGAAAAAAAAAAAATATCTTAAAACGTTCCTGCAACTTTTTTCCTTTTTTTAACCTTCAAAAATAACAAAACTGTTGAACCTTGTCTTCCTTGTTCTTACTGGGAAACCAGCTGTGTGACTCATTCTTTAGGAACTTTCTATGGGCTTTAATTGAAAAGAGAAATGTTGACTTTGAAACAGACTCTTTTCTTCCAAGTATTTTAATCTGTTATGAAACAAGAAAAAAACTAAACCCAAAAAACATTAATCCTCTCAATTAAACACTATTATTACAGAAAAAACCTGCCCTCCAATGCATCTGTAAACCCAGAGGGTACTTGTGTACGTAATGATAAGCGCAAACACGAGCATTAGCAACTCAGGAACCTCACACAACCCAGCAGCGGGTTACACGAAACACAGCGTCACTGATGCAGAAACCAATCCCGTTTTGTCATTAAAAACCTCAGCAATGGCTTTCCATATCCTCCAGCAAGCCACTTGGGAAAATGTGGAAAAGTCAAGCAAATGAAATTTATTCCTGCTTGCTTCAGTCTGTTTTATGTCAGAGGTGAATTTTCAACAGGCAGATAAGACAAATACCCATAATTTTTTTTTTTTAAAAAGACAGAAAATGAAGTAAGAGTGTGCACGTATCTTATTGCCACAGAGGGAAAGAGGGGAGCAGTGTTTTCATGTTCAGGTTACCTCCAACTGTGATTCTGCACTGATTTTTACCCAAGAAATAGCGTGCACAGCTTCAATCACTGCATCCTTAAGACGGCAAGGTAAAACCCAATCTCCCCGGTGTCACGCTTATCCAGATTCACACCCGACAGCCCCTGCCCACGCACACGCGGGGAAGGCGACAGGTGAATCCCCGCCGGGGTACCCGCTCCAAGCCACGACCCACCGCGGCCTACAACATGGCGCCCCCCCAGCCGCCCTCACACACGCTGACTCGCCCGCAACCCGCCCCCCAGCGCTCCCGGGCGCCCTCCCCCGGCCTGGGGAGCGGGATCTGGAGGGCGAAGGGGCCGAGCGCCGCCGGCAGCCCCGGGGCGGGGAAGGGAGGGCCGCGGAGGCTGTCGGCGGCCCTCCCTTCCCCGCCCCGGGGCTGCCGCCGGCGCGCCCTGCCGCTGACTAGGCCGGTGCCCCGCGGCGAGGCGAGATGGCGGCCGGAGACCCCGATCGCCCCCGGCCGGCCCTTACCTGGCCGCCTGCATGAGGGGGCTCCATCCGTAATGGTTCCTGCTCTGTACCGAGGCCCCCTTCCGCAGCAGGAACCGCACCAGCTGCTCGTGTCCCCCCGCCGCGGCG